AAAGAAATAAAAATAATTTCTCCTCACCTACTAGGCCCTAGTGATTCTGCTCCAAATCCCAAACAGCACTACAGAAGATTTCAGAACCAACATCTTGCAAGCCAGGTTGCAGTATGCTTTTATCACAGTACCACTCTGCTCTGTCACACCATGCAGCCCAACCCAGAGGAGCACAGGGAATACCTGGGCCTTCAGACAGCTGGCCAAAAGGCTGTAATACTGAAAGACTGAGGAATATGAGTGCCATCACAACTGTTGCAGTCCAGCAGTTACAGACTTGCTAAATTACTCAGCCTGTGTGCCTGAGCCTGTAGGAACCTATCAAACCACAAGCTAACACAGAATGAGCAGTTGACAGCTCCTTGGGTAACAGGCTGGATTAGGGGTATGTCAGCCTGCCCAAATGCTCCTTCCAGAGGTTTATGAAAGAAATGAAAGCATGAATTGTGCAGCTCTTCAGTGTGCAACCTTTCTGTTCTGACACATCGCTGCTGTTGTGGACAGAAGATCCAAACAAAACAACTGTGGTGTTTCTTAGCAGCCGTATCATAGTTGTTTTTGAACTTTTGGGTGCTCCTATTTCTCAACAAAAGATTGAGAAATAGTCTTCTACATCTCAGTAGGAATATTTTTATTTCTCAGTTAAAAAAAAAATAAAATAAAATTCTTCCTGTGACTAAAGCAAGACAAAAAGAAGCACAGCCACCACTGTGCCACCACTGTGCTTTAGAGAATTACCTCGATGATCAATTATTTCAAGTAAAACTGAAGATGCTAGTTGTCAATTGCAAGTCTACACAGATGAGTTGTAATGCAATGAGACAGTAAGATGTACAAAACCAGAAATTCACTGATACACTTCACTTTGTACAAGAAAAAGCAACTCCTAACGCAGTATATTAAAAAGGCTCAGTGTTCCCAAAGCAATTAAAGTTATTAATAACATAAAGTTATTAATAACATTAAAATGCATATTCATCTTGACTTCCAATGAACTTGTCTATTCATATGAAACTGCACAGACTGACCAAATGATGAAACACTTTGGGTCTAATCTTATTTGCAAGACAAGTAGCTATTCTCTATACTTCAAATTCGTCAGTAGCTCCTTCCCATGCTCCTTCCCTCTCTCTCTCATTTTCTGATAGTTAGAATAATAAATTTGGCAACTTGTAGATTGCTTCCTTCCACTGAGACTTCAGAGTTGCTTTCCCAATGTAATTGGCAATTGGCAATACAATTTGTCCACCCAATAAGAACTGTCCTCAGTATCAGATCCCTACTCGTAGATACATATAACTCATCCAGTCTAAGCTTAAAGCTATCCCTAACACAAACTCATGTTCCTTTGTATCTACCTTAATTTTTTTTCTAGTACCAACAAGATTCAAAAGAGGGTTCAAAGCCATTTACTTTAATGTAAAAAAAAGCACTGTATTGTGGAAATTATGAAAAGATGTTCTTGCATGAAAAGTTAGTAATACTTGAGTTGGATGTTTTCCATCACTGGGGAAGAGGGAGAAGGTTCCTATCAACTGTGCAAAAAATTTCATTTGAACATGTAAGTGAACTCATTTTGATATGAGAATAATGGAAGAAGAAAGGAAAAATCAAATGAGAAAAATCACAAGGGAAAGACACATGCAGAGGAAATTGAAAGTCATAAAATACATTTCAAGATCTCAGCATAGTGTAAATGTAAAAAAGAGATGAAATCAAGCTTTATGTCAGTGTAATCAGATATGCTTTTAAACAAATTACTTGGTCTTATCCAAATATCTAGCATCATATCATCCAAAAGGTTCTCTCCTTCACTCATTAACATAACAATTGTATCAATAAATTGTTTGTTCAACTCATTAGTTTTTTTCTTATATTTATGAAACTCATTAGATTTATAATCATTCATTGAAACCAGTCCACAGAGATGAACACCCTATTACATATATTGCATAATGATTCAATACTTCTAGTTGCTTTGCTATTTTATAGGCATAGTGTTAAAGAACAATAAATTCTGCAGAAACTACAAATGTGAAAGAACTGTCTACTTTCATTTGTGTATGTCTATTTATTTAAAGAACCTCATTCAGACTCCAGTGTGAATTTCCCAGCATTTTCATCTTAAGATGAAACTTTCAGCCCAATCATACTTGCTTTAGTCTAGAAAACTTCAAAGAGATATTTAGTGATATAGCAAAATGATGTTTGTCTGAACTTTGTGTTCATCCTGAACTTTGTGTTCATCCCTTCTGATTCATCAAAACAGAGTTATATAAGTTTATGGATAAAAAGATTGCCTATCGAACTACTGAGGTTAGACCTAGAATATCACTATCGGGTCATGCTAGTTCAAGGCAATCATTCATTACATTTAATTTCCTGGTGTTTTGTTCCAGTTCACCTGCCATGTGCTTTACAAAGTAGTATTTTCAATCTCATAATTATTTTTTGTATGTATACTTTTTTTTTATTATTCATATTCTGAAAATTATAATCTAGATCTGTGAAACAAAGAAGTGAGACAAGGCAGCAAACATTTGTAGGACTAAAGGAAACATACCTATTTCTACCCACAGGTATGTCCAACTGCTATCCTCTTACACCATGCATAAACCATTTTCTGAACAAGTTTAGGAATTCTTCACAAGAGAAAATGTTCTTTTTAGAATTCCAGGCTTGTTCAGAATACATTGTAAAGGCATTGAAAAGTGCTACAGAAAAAATACCACAAACACTCATAATCCCCAAGGCTTGTGCATTCAAAACTTTTGCTTATCTTCTGAAGTAATCTAAGCATCATTGAACATGGGAACAGATATTTCATGATAAGCTTACATTCAACTGGATGTTATCTGTATCTATTGCTATTCTGTAAATTATTCATATGGAGGTTTTAACACCAAGTTTTGTAGATGACTCAATTGTTTTACTTTCAGCTACTAAAAATGGACTAGAAAGACAAGCATTCATATGCTATGTAAGTTCACAGGTCAAAGCATAAATACATGATAAGATTTTCCCCTCTTTCTTCCCTTCCGTTTTCTCCCTGATATTAAGGGACAACATGATACATATAAATGCAGTACCTTTGGTATTTTGAGGATTTTTTTCTTGAACAGGTTCAAATAATTTCCTTTCTATTTCATTTATTTTCTTTCCATGGAAATTCATTTATTTTTGTTGGATGAGAAAGTATCATAAATAATGAAAGAGCAAGCAGGAAGAAAATGCAAGATGAAAAAAATGAAAACCTCAGTGATACTCTAACAAAATCTAAAGGCATTAGCCCATGGCCAAGAAAGACCTCAGATCCTCTTTCAGAATGAACCAGTCTTTTTCTCCTTTAGTTTGGGACAAATAATTCTATTTCTCTGATTCTGTTTCCCTATGTAAAATGGGTCAGAATTACAGCATCTAATACTTCTTAATACTATTACAAAAATAGAAAAATATTCTATTCACACAATACTCACAAATAATAAAGCAAAGGTTTTAGCCAATTACTTCCAACTGTTTTAAAGAATGTCATTACTTGAAAGCTAGTCACTGTGGGTCATATATTCATTACTTAGCAAAGGAAGGAAATATTTTTCCATAAACCTCTTGAAATACAACAGATTAATATTGGTGACACTAACATCTCTCCATATTACCCAGAAAAAATCCATCAGTCATGACTATTAAGTCTCTTCCAGACATCATTTAGTATTATAATGGAAATAAAATCCATGTCCTGGAACACTAACACATTCGGTGTTGTTAGTTAGTTCATTTTCTTTGTTGTTGTTTTGTTTTGTTTGTTTTGAACAGGAGGCCACTATGCTACATGTATTTAAAAATTTACCATTCTTATCCTCTATGACATGCTGTTAGTGACCATAAATGCATATCTCTTTTACAATGAAGGCCTCTCTTTCACTGACAAAGAAATGTAAAGTTAATACATGTATCTATGTAAAAGAATCAAAATGATCATGTAACACACACCATATTCTGATCTGAGGGAGGAGTTTAGCCGGTCATAATACAAAATACAGAAATTTTGTTAACTATCACGTTTTTATTCACATGTACATGTGAAAGGTTTGAATTTTCACTGAGGCAAAGAAATGTTTCAACAGTCAAAATGTACTTTGAAAGCCCCACGTGAAGAACAAGCCATTATTACTCTCTACAAACATATCAAAGATGTATATATTTTTTTTTCCAGTAGGGGAGAAGTGCCAAGAGGGCCTATGCATCTTCTGGTTTTGTGTTAGAATGACAAATAGCTGGTTTGAAATCCAATAAAACCAGTCAGCCTGCTTCAATTCCTACAAACAAAAAATTTGCAGTCTTTTTCTCTTTTTACCACAAAGAAAACCTCAAAGACCTTGTCAATGAGGAAAAAATTGACATGAATTTCTCGACCTACAAGTTAGGCATGGATGAGCTAACTTGGTCATTCTGAAAGATAACCTGTGTATTAAGAAAAACTCCCCAGGAACTGCTCATTAAAGAAAAAAAAAAGTTTTTTTTAAAAAAGGAAATAAATGAATTTAGAAAAATAAATTTAGAAATGCTCTTTAACATTGAGGACAACATTATTTTGTGATATATATGGAAACACTTTCTGAAAACAGATATAAGTATCCATGGCAGTAAAATGAATTATAACTGGGTGGAAGAGAATTCCTGTCTTAGCATTGAGAAATAATTTTACCCATTTGTTTGTGTGTTTTGTTGTTGTTGTTGTTGTTTGTTTAAAAAAAAAAGAAAAAGAAAAAGAAAAAGAAAAAGAAAAAGAAAAAGAAAAAGAAAAAGAAAAAGAAAAAGAAAAAGAAAAAGAAAAAGAAAAAGAAAAAGAAAAAGAAAAAGAAAAAGAAAAAAGAACAAAACACAACAACAACAAAGCAGCAGTAAAAGGCCCAGAGCTATTAAAACTGAATTAACAGTGCATATACAAGAAAAGAAAAGAAAAAAAAAAAAAAAAAGAAGGAAAAAAGATTGGTCCCTACCATCACCAACAAATTGAAGGAGGGCTAGATCAATTTGTCTCTTCCAAGGTGATCCTTTCTGAAGTGCTATTCCATAGCCCGTAGTGGCAAAGATGTATCCACTGCCTATTGTGACAAGTTTGCAGCCTTCATCTCTTCCAGCCTTGTAATTCAGCACTGCTGCATCATAGATGAAAGCATCCAGCTTCCTGAAATAAAAGAAAACATTTTACAAAACAAATCATAGGGACAGCTGTTGTCAGACTTCTTTTGTCCTTGATGTTAGGACCCTGTTGAATATCATATGGATTCTTTGATATCATTAATTACATATCCTGCTCTGCTGTATCTAAAATTAACAAAAGGCATCTATTTTAGTGAGGGGAAAGTAGGACACATAGTTTTGCTTTTCTATTTTAAGGGATGCTGTTAAAAAATACTGAGAGCAGGAGAAATGAAGCTACAGAATGTCTTGCCCTGTTATCTTCATATCTCAAAATAGGTAATAAATATATTGAGATGCAAAATGGTGTCCAAACACAACAGAAATAATGACAGAGAATTTAGAATCAAAATAATAAGAACCAATTCATTTATTTAAAATATTGAGAAAGACTGAAAACGTGACTTCTACAGTTTTTCCTACACACAGTTATCATTACATCTTTTTCCAAAAACAAACAATAAGGTGGAAGTCCTTCTTAGGACAAAGGAATGCATTGGAATATATCTGATACAGCTATTAAATTAAACTTTAAAATCATAGAAAATATTTCTTTATGATTTGCAGTTCCGAACATATTATTTGTGTACCTGGAACAGAGCAGGAATAAAGTGACTTATGGAAAATGTCAAGTGTTTCAGCCCACTTACCTAAAAAATGTAAGAATGGGACACACCCATTCTCCAAGATATACAGGGAACACAACAAAGTAATGGGAAACAGAAAATCAACAAGGAAAGGAAAAGAGGCAGTGTCCTTTGGGGATAATTTTAAGGAGCACTACAAAGCAAGGGTTAGACAAGAGAAATGCATGGATATTTCACAAATGAAGCCAGTGCACATACATGAAGAGGGCATTTGGAAAGACAATTACTTGCCAACAGAAACCTCAATCATCGAAGACATTCTGATACCTACAGAAATTCATATGCACTATTTAAAAGGGAAAAGAGAAAACTTAGGTATGTTTTATATTAGGTACTCTAATATGTAGCCAAAACATTTAAGATTTGTACCACTTGCACAGACTAGCAGAATACAGAGGCAATAGGAAAAATATAGCATCTCTGCTCAAAACCCACCTAAATAATACACTATATCAAAGTTATTACTCCCCAGTAACACTTTCCCTTTTCAACATCTTGGCCCATTCCTTAAGAGTCAGGGGAATGGGGAGGACACAGCGGCACAACTGGATTCACAGTTGGGGGTAGGAGGGCTCTTCCACCCACCCCTACCGGCGCTGCAGCTCCTGGGCACTGTCACTCTGCTCTGCCTCTGGAGAGCCACAGCACATTACTATGGAGCACTGCTGAAATTTTCTGAAGAGATGCAAATGACAGAGGCTGGAAAAACACTTCATAAACAGCTGGGACCTGTCTTCATGGGAACGGAACTGTAAAAATAAATTCACTGTGGCACAAACAGGTACGAGGGCATCAACTTTAGTTTTGTACACGTGTAGTATGTCCCAGTAGTGAACTCAGTTGCTGTTGAAGTTTTGGAGTCACACTTGCCACTATCTTAAGTTTTTATTGATAAAGCTTTTCATTTGTAGCTGCAGAACAGAGCAATACCTAGGCTTATCAGATTTTGGCTATTGACAGAGGAAAACAATCTTTCATGCACAACATAATCTGATGTTTGTTCTTAAATATTTAATCAACAGATTCATACAGAATCCTAACTTTTACAGAACTCTAGATCAAATAGCAACTTTGGCACTGAGGAAAATGCCCTATCCATCTCATGTTAAACCAAGGAAATACCAGAGGAGAGTGAGGTTGTTGGATACTGTCTGCTGTTATGAGAAAGTTAAGAGTTTCTCTCACTTCTTACTGCACTTTATTGTGTCCCTTCAAGGATATTTCCTCCAATAGTCACCATCCAAGTCATCAAACCAGAATTTAGTGAAGTAGTTACTTTAGAGAAACTACAAATGCAATCATTAGAAGAAATATCTGGGCCAACATTTTGTTTTCTACTTTTCCCTAAAACTCTGTTGGTGCAATCCTCAGTTTAAAAGTCAGTTTAGCTCCATTGACTCTAAATATATCTTACTGTCTCCTTCCTTTAAATTAATTAATTGATATGGAGAAAACAATTGTTAAACATCTGGAAGGTGTCATGTCACAATTTCAGTCTGGAAATGAGGTATGGCTTCCTAGCACTGAGGGGAGCTAAACTGGGCCCAGCTGGCCTGCTGGGGCAGAGGTGTCCTCAACACAAGGCCAGACAGTTCTTTGGGCAGGCACACAAGGGAAAGAAAGAAGAAAAACTGTTTGCCATACTCTCAAGATATTTGTAACATTTCTGACCTATGGCAGGCAAGTACCATAATCAATATACTCCAATCTCATGCTTTCAGCCCTCTGCAGTTATCTGTGGGGAAGGAAGGATACTTCCCTGCTGGGTGGATGCCTTTGGATCAGGCAAAGTACTGGAAGGTGGCACTCCTCCTGGTGGGTGCCGTCACTGCTGCAATAAGCCAAACTAAATTAAAATACACTTTGGAGCTTCTCATCTCTTTATTCTGGGGTTTATTGTGTGGTTTTATTTTTTTATTTCCTTTTCAGTGTAAGCATGTAAAATGCATGCTGGTAAACTTGATGAAAATATAGAGTCAACTCATCTTCTGTCAAAAGAGACTCAGTCAGAACTACAGAGGAAAGAGGTGTCTTTGCTAAAGACTTCAGGGCAAAAGCCTTGTGCTACCTTAGAAATCACACTCTATATGCAGCTTGTCTCAGCTGTTCAGCACTCTACCAGCACCTTGGGAAGAAAGTCAAGGCACAGTCATAGTTTCACTCACTCACTGTGGACCCTCCCCAGCTTCCCAGTAGAGCTTGGCATCAGTCAGCTGCAGTGGGTGCACAGCAAGGAACGGAGGTTCTGAAAAAACAGGCAGCTTTACTTTGAGGAGCTTTCTCTCTCTACTATGTCTAGAAGGTCACAACAAATCTTATTACGCAAACCAATTTATAAACATGAGGTGCTTTCCTGACAGGGGCTGAGGGCTGAAGGGTTCTGCACTGCTGCCCAATGACTGAGCTGTAAATCAAAACGCTGATTGCCCTGAAAAAATCTTGCTTTCTACAAATACAAGCTCATATTCAGAGTATATTTTCTCCTATTCCAATATAAATCCTATAACCTCTCAAGGCTTAATTATCTCCTCACCATGTGCTGATTACAGAAGCACTTTTCCTTGCAAAGCAAAGCTTCGGAATGTGATGTACCCCTGGAGCATGGGTAGGGAATATGCCACACATGAAACTCTCAGATATTAGGGCAAACAAATGTTCCATCATTAGAAGGTGGATTTCCTGACACACTGAATTTTCAAGAACTTTCAAACAACTTTAAACATTCCTCAAGAAGAGTTTATGAAAACTGAGAGAGCCAAATCTAGGCAAGTCCAAAAATTTGACCCTTTCCCTTCCTCACAAGCACTGGAAAGCCTCAGCATCCTCACTCTTGTGGCAGCAAAATGCAGTTGAAAGCTGAGAAACTTTCAGATGGCTTGAGTGTCAAGCCATCTAAGTCACATAGCCTCTGAGTAACAGCTTACATGCCTAGGGTACAGCAACCCACATCAAGAAAGGCTCACAGCCTCTTGCAAACCTTAGTCTCATAAAGATGAATCAATTAAACCTGCTGCTTCAGTTCAGCCACTTCAGGGGGTGAAAAGCTTTGTCACATTGTGTAGGTTTAAATAAACTGCCAAGAATTACAAGAAAGATAGAAGAGAGCTATAGAAACTAGAATGCAGCAAGAACCAAGATTTATAGATACCAGATACTGGCCAAACATGCCAGGAATCTTCAACGAATGTAGAGGAACAGGATTACAGTACTATGACTCATCTGAGCAACTGGCAGGTTTGTAAACTTCCTCTGAACTACTGCAATAATCCCAGGTAGGAGAGAAAATACACATCCTGAAACATTTGTGTAAGAGCATCGACAAGGCAAGTGTCCTTCATTACCTAGCAAATAGAGAGGAATGGGTGGTGGGGAGAATTTTAGCTCATACAGCATAGACGAACAGCGGGTGTTATAAAATTATGATTTGGAATAGTTCTAAAATAAACAAAAACATTACTGAATGCAATAATTTGAAGTGGGTGATCTGTGAAAAACACGTGGACAGTCTTGTACACAAACATTTATAGGACTGCATGAAATATAAGAGTTGAAAAATCATTCTCTATGCGCTGCAGTATACAGACAAAAAAAATAAAAAAAATATCCTGTTTAAAGAAAATTAAATTTAGATGAGGAAAAGGTACAGAAGAGTAATTTCTGAAAAGATTAAAACACTTCCCCAATGTAACAGTGATTTTCCTTATCTTCAGTATTAGCACATACTTTTCACAAGATTTGCATAATGGAAATTGAAAAGCAGGATTAGGAAAATGCTTCTTTATTAGTCATGGTTTCTTCCTCAAAAAACAAAAGGATAGTGCATTTGGAAAATGTTTCTTTTCTTCCTTAACCAGCCACATGATCATTCAGGAATTTTGTTTGTTGTGATGGAAAGAAGAGGGAATAATCAAAAATGACTATCTGCTCACAGGAAATCAACTTCTTCCAATTACTTTGTGTCCTACTACAGCCTGTAGTGAAGAATTCGGGAAATGAGAGGGATGCTTTTATGCAGTTCTGTTTATTCCCATTATTCTTCTTTATCTTCAGTCACTGAGTCGTATGGAACAAATAATATTGTGTTTCCATTCAGGATCAGAGAAACTGGATTATGACTGAAGTCACCTTCCAGTTTTCAACTAGAGCAGTAAATCCACACATTCAATATATACCGCAGAATTAATTTCTCGCTAAAGTGGGCAACACTCGATGATGTTCATCTGTCAGATCCACATTAACTTTGGAATCAGTTCCTTTTCTTACATTTCTTTATGTTTTCTGACACCCCAAATATGTTATTTCATGATCACACAAAAGCTGTGTATTTGTTACTAACACA